TGTTGTGCATCTCAAATAGTAGACCAATATTAGTTGCCAGGCTTCATCTTAAATTTATTTTAAATATGCCTCTAATACTCTCAGAACATAGGAGTTCTTTCTTTACATCACATGTTACTCGTATATCTAACATGATTCATCACAGCTGCCAGCTCCAAAGTCAACTTTTGTCAACATTTACAAAATAAACAAGAATAATTTTGTTCAAAAAAGTCCTATAGCTTTGTGGAACATTTTGTCCTAAATTTAAAGAAATTACAGAAAACTTAATGCAAATTTTGCCAGAAAAATTATAGCGTCCAAATGGTGTGACACAGAATACACCATCACTAGTGCTCGAATTGAGTTGTAAATTTATTTTTAACCATACATGTATCTGCTTTATTGTCGTTTTGATTTGCAGAACAGATATGAAATAAGAGTCCGGATAAAAACAACACCAACGGGAATGAGACTGTTTTTAAGAAAACCAAGAAAATAAAAAAAGATTATGTTTTCAGATTGCGGCTTGACGCTCTCAATAAAACTACAATAAATCAGACAAGCGAATATTGCAATGACCTTAGCAAGGAAATTGATGTTATCTTTCAATTTGTCTTTGAACTTGTCTCGTACGGCTAGGACAGCACCAAGACCAAAAACACATCCAGCATCACGTGATAGCGCATAGAATGGTGTTGTATCCTAGATGAATGTATTCTTTCTTGGAGCACCACTTTATTGCGAGAGACACTGTCCATCCCGGGTCAAGCTGTAGTAACTGCAGTATACCGTAGAGTCCAATTGCAGTGATTAATATAAAACCACTTCCCATAACATAGAAATGTAGCGGCAAATCATCTGTTGAAATCCTGTTAAATAGAACTGCTAACAATATACCTATATTTAAAAAACAAAACAAAAACCTGTTCATATCATCTTGGCCTGCTAATAAAAAATTTGTCTTACAAATTATTGTCTAGTATTTCATTGCAACTTATTATGTTTTATACAAATCACGTGAAATATACAATGTATGTAATTCAGGTCTCATACCACTAATTAGATTTCTATAGATGATGAGGTGAATGTCTCAAAAAAAAAAGTTACATAGATCAAAATAATATTTTTATTTA